TCTTCAAAGCATTTCCTTATAATTTCCATTTTTTGGATGTCCAAACTGAAATTTTCCAATTATAGTGAATTTATGAATATCAACCAAAGTAGAAAGTTCAAGAGCAGAAAATATTAAAGCAAGTTTACCTCATTTCTTTACAACTTTTTTAATGAATTGACAATCTCCTTGCCCTACAGCAGCATCATGATAAATTTGTGGAAAGACTAACTTATCTAAATAAGAAGAATTAATCGCACCATTACCAACAACATCCACATAAGTGCATTTACCAGCCAAATAATCAGAATTGAAGAATTGGTTGGATTCAACCATCAAATTCCTTATTCAACCAACTAGAAAATATCAACCACAAAGACAAGAAGAAAACCAAAGAAGAAACCAATGGAATAGCAATAGATAGCAGAAATTTGAGAAATAAACCCAAGAAGACCATCCAGCGGTGGTGAGGCTGCGGCCGGCAACGGCAAAAGCTGGAAGAAAGCGGCAATTGCAGTATCCAACGACAATGGAGACAAAAGCGGGAAAAATATATATTTTTAATATATATATATATATATATGTATATAATTTTTTAAAAGTAACATTGACCGAACCGATCTCATACATATTTTAGTTTAAATAAACGAACATGACACCCCAAGCAATGCATCTATCCTGAAGAATACCTATATTATTGGATAGTGAGGCTCAATTAAATAAAATAATGAATTTATGATAAATGTTTGGTTTGTGAAATATTTATGTTGACTGGAAAGTTCTCTTATCTAATATAAAGATTAGACATGATTTATATTACCTTGGTCTAAAAGCTTCTTATAGAGGCAAACCCCTATAGTTAATTACATCTCAAATGCTCGAAGACAGTGGACAAAACTTGCGATTTAGATCAGAAGTTTTTGTCTTTAAGAATCTCAAAGCTTAAGGTTTCAGGGTTGGACATGGAAAATCAAATTAGCTATGGATCAACATAGGAACATTTATTTTAGAAATCCAAAGGAAGAAAAGTAGAGGATGTCACGGATCCTGAGGAGAACCTTTTGGCTTCGATTTTGGAGAAGAAATTATTTTGATGTTTCATCCTTCCATTTTTATTATTTACGGCTTAAATTTACATGATACCGATTATCCAAATGGCCTAGGAGGATAGGAAGGTTTATGGCATACCGAACGATAACCTCATAGGCTAAAAAGAGTTAGAATTTATGTTGCACAACAAGGTTGTGCAAAAGTCTAAAGATAAGTTGATGATTTGCGTCAGGCTAGACGAGCTACCTCGAAGTCCTTTGGCTCATTATTTAAATCTAAAGAAAATTTATTTGATGTGGATCTATTTTGTTGTTGTAGATCGTTGTCTTCAATCTGCTTCGGTTTGGTCCAAGCTCGCTATCGATGGTTGCTTCAAGTTTAGTATTTTATGTTTTATATTTTTCTTTCAATTCTTGTTAATTCAATTAATTAAAAAATATGTGTTTTGGTTTTGTAGTAATCCATCATAAGTGAACCGACTACTGTTTTTTATCCTGAAGTTCTTGCAATTTAATGATTGTAAAAGTAAAAAGCAGTAAAAAGATTGTTGTAGAAAAATGTTGTAAAATATAAATGTGCGTATTTGGATCTCTGCTACCGCTGCAAAAGGGGTCATTACAATAGTTATAGGAAATTATTATTCACAAATTTTAAGTATTAATTTCAGGCATCATGATACTTCATAATCATAAAATGATCATTGGATCTGCTTGAACATAAAAGGCATACTTTTGATTTTTGGTTCTTTATTAGGAAGATGGATTCTTCCTATCCTTTTAGGAAAGTTTTTATAATTTAAAACCACGTCAAGTAGTTTCTTCCATTCAATTGATATGAGGCATATAGTGCTTGGAGCTTTCCTTTAATTTGGTTTTCATCATTCTTGATAGCTGACTCCGTGGAGGGGAAATAAAATTCCTGGATACAGTGAAAAGAAGAATTAAAGATATGATGAGCAAAGGTTGGACAGTAGGACCCTAAACTTGCTCTAATATCATGTAGAAAAGAAGTTGCTAGAGATGCTTGAATTGTTCATTCCTTTAAACACAAAATTACATAGAAAGGAAAAGGAAATGAATGATTACAATAATACACAACAAACTGTTCGTAATTATCTCGCCGTTTCATCCATTGATGCCAAGGAAGGAATCTGTTTGCTCTTTCTTTTGCTGTGTATGACTCCATGGGAGAGGTATTTTCTTGTGAACCATAAATCTTTGGCCTTCGATATTTCATATATATATATATATATAAATGCCCAAAGGGCTATTATATTAAAGAGAAGATACATAGAGGTTGTATGGGGGGCCTAAAAATAGGCACCCAACCCACACAGTACAACACACAAAAAAAAATTAAAAAGGGGTACATATAAAAATAAAAATAAAAACCCAAAACTGCCAAGGCGTTGAAAAAGTGAGGGTCATCCCAATCTTGTCCTGCCTCTGACTCTAGTTCTCGGAAGGGATCCAGCTAACAGATTGGTAAGGTGCGTACCATTGCCTGAAATAACTAAAGTATCATCTATAAGACTCTTGAGTTCAAGTAGATCTCCATTCTTCTTCTTCCTCCTAGAAGTGTAAATCTGTCATTTCTCATCCGTAGGATCAGTCTGATGAGGTGGTACAGCTGAAGCAGAATAATTGTCAACCGTAGTACCCACAATAGGTTCTAGTATTTGTGAAGTATGAGTTGTCTCTACACTGGATACTTTCTGAAGAAAGGGAGCTGCGAGGTTCTCCTGATTATCAATCTGAACACTGTCCTTTGTAGGTAATATTCCATCATTATTGTTTTCTATGGCGTTTGAAGGTGTCAGCATCACTTCTCTCGCAGTAACAGTATGCAGTAAAAGTAACAACAATGTCATTGGGAGGGTCCACAGGGGCAACATATATCTCATGTCTGGTAGTATCCTTCTCAGGTGGAACTAAAATGTCCAGAGCAGTGGGGTTAGACCCATCCTTATTCACGTGAACCTTAGATTTCAAATTAGGATGAAGCTTGTGACATTTATCAAGGATATTCTCAAACATCTTACAGTGGGTACATTATGGGGGTTTGTGTTCGATGACGATTTGTTGTCAATATCCATTATGGGTTGTTGTGCCCAACCAGACTTTAGTAACATTAGATAAAGTAATATCCTTTTCCACAAGTATTCTGGCTACAGATGGTCTGATGAGGTTGAAAGTAGACAAATCTAGCTTCAAAGGGTCCCCAAGGATGACTTCAACTGAGTAGAGAACCTGATAGTGAAAAAAATACAGCTTGAGACCAGGTAGACTAAACCATACCGGTACAGTGGGAGTTTCATGATTTGGGTCGAAATCAGGAGACCACTTGAGTAATTTCATTGATTTGTCTGCGATATTAAGATATTTTTTGGAAAAAATTCGGGTGTATTCTTCAGTCACTATTAGTTGAATCAACACATGTTTCCCATCCATGAGTCTCACTTTTCACTTGCCTACTAGTTTAAAATCATTAACTCTCTTTCTGATTATATTCATAGGTGGGTGTCCACACTGAAATTTTCCAGTAAGAGCAAACTTTAATTTTTTCGTCACGATAGAAATTTCTGAGTCAGAGAAAAAGATAGTTATTTTTCCACCTTTCTTACTTCCCTTTTTAACAAAATGACAATCATCTGTACAATCACAACAATCCTTATAGCTTGAGGGGAAGACCACTGCAGACTCCACCTGAGGATTACCCACCACATGTGCATATGAGGCCTTTGTCGGTTTAACTAAAGAAGAAGGAAGTGTGATCAGAGCAAGGAGATGTGTTGGCGTTCACCTGCAGCGAGACCTGCAGTGAGTTCCTGACAAGCGGAAGAAAAGAAGTTGTTGCTGCCGGGCCGGAGAGAAGCATGGGCGCAGACACAAATAGACGAAGCGTCGAAACAGAAGGAACGAAACTGTCGGGCGCAGAAGCAGGGAAAGGCACAACGTCGAAACAGGAAAGTCGTAGACCGCACGCCGACACAGACGCCAGCCAGAATCTACGACCGACGATGCCGATGCAGACACAAATGCATACCGGAGCAAGAGTTGGCAAAACGAGTTGCGGTGCCCTCTCCTTAAAGCGGTAGGATCAAATGCGACGGAAATCTCCATGGGAAATCCTAACAGAGCTCTCAACCGCAGCCGACATCGTGGTTATATATACATGCATATATATATAAAAGAATGGCCTAAGGTATTATATGAGTCTCCAGCCACCCTCATGTGCCTAACTATTCGAGAACCGCCTTCACTACCAGTGAACTGACTAGAGGGGGATTTGGACCCATGACTTGAGGGGACTTACATTCTTCAAAGAGGCTACTCTACCAACACTCCACGGCTGGCGGCATTGATATTTTGTGTGTGTGTGTGTGTATATGTGTGTGTATGTATATATATATATATATATAATATTTTTTTTTTTTTTTTCTCTCTCTCTCTCTCTCTCTCTAAAATACTTACAACTGAGACGAATGGGTAGCCACACAGACCAGCTAGTGCGTAGGTGGTGATTGGTAACGCCTCTTTCATCTGGCAATGTTAACCGTGAGGAATATATCCATTGTTGGTATGTGGATGAGTATTTTATTTTGAAAAAGAGTGGGTCATTCAATTTAAAACATGTAAGCCATTTGAGAAGCCATATATGCAAAAAATTGAAAGAGTTCGTCGAAAAAATACTCTGAATCTAGATGTTGTCCTTAATACTTTGGTGAGTTTCTCACTAAACTATTGCTTAGAACTGACTTCCATCTTTTGTTAACCTTGCACATCATATAACGCATTAATGTTATTATCTCCAATATTTTATGTTTAGTGTCTCTTTGTCCATGTCAAACGGAATACTCTTTATTTTTATATCTTTTGGGAATTTAATTTTGTTTGATGAGGGAAATAATTCATTTCAATTAATTTGATCTTTTTTCTAAATGCAATGTTTGGCGCATAAATTTTTTTCAGCTTATATCAAGGATGTGTCTGTCAAACATTGATGTCTGCAATGTGCTTTGTGTCCTGCAATATTCAACTCGTAGTGATGAAGTTGATGCTGGTGGGGATGGAACATTTATCTGTGACATGTTTTCCTTGATGTCACTATGTGCTCCATACATTAATAATGAATCAGGAGAGGAAAACAACAAGAAATGTAGACTTTCCAATCCCCATGGCATAGTTCTACATTGTTGTATTGCCTTGTCCGTCATCGCCCTCTGCTTAAAGTCAGACAGAAAATTTTCAGCATCCTATATGCTTACAGGTTCCCCAAAGAAACAAAGAATTCGTCTATCAGTGCTTGCCCGTTTATCTTCTTCTGATGATAGGACTGGAAATTCAGTTCATTGTGCATCAGCTATGCTAGCTTTATCATCAATTATTAGTCTGGAATGCTTCAGTCCTTCAAAATCATCCATCTGCGAAGTGGCGCTCGCTTTACTTCCACCCATGGCAACACTTCGCACCCATCTCAAGCTTTGGTTGGCTGATGAAATGGGAGCACAATTCGATTATAAGTGGTCACAAATCTTTTGTCATGGCCTTAGGGATGGTTGTCTTGGGTTGCTGGATGCGAGATTGAAATGTGGTGGACCTCTAGCCGTTGAACAGGCATGTTCAAGTGATATACCGCAACTTCTTCTTTCTTTGTTGGCTCATGGTCTTAAGAAAGACCCCTCAGACATAAATAAAGCTGCAAAGATTCATATTGGCCTATCACCAATGGGGCTTGTATGGACACTTTCTTCCTTGTGCCATTGCTTACCTGGGGGTGTTTTTAGGGAGACATTGTTTAGGAGAGAGAATGTGAAGCTCATAGTTGATCTAATATCTGATGCACATATCAAGTTAGTAAGATGTTGGAGAGGGTTTGGTGGAGGAACTAGTGGGGTCAGAGATCTTATGAATTCAGTGGTGGATCTCTTTGCATTTCCCTTCGTTGCTGTTCAGAGCTCACCCAGCATGCCACCAACTTCTGCATCCATTAACAGTGGCTATCTTCTGAACATTGATTCACCTGGCTGGAGAATGGGTGTTGAAAGTAGGGAAATGGTCAAGTCTATTGAGGCTAACATGTCTCATTATATACAGATTCTTCTTGAGGTAAAATATTGGAGAACCAGATATGTTTTCCTCAGGGTTGCTAAAGTAGCCTATGCTAACAGATTATTTTCTTGCTAGGCTGGTGTTCCTCGCAGTATTCTTAGATGCTTGGATTTTCTGGATTCAAAAAATCTAGCGAGGCCGGTAGCTTTTTTAGCCAAAATGGTTGCATACCGTCCCCTTGCGTTGCAGCTTGTCAGAGAAGGTTTATTGAGTTCAAACTTGGCTAGAAGATTGCTTGGCGGATCGAGCCCCAAGGAAGTTATGCTTGACTTTCTCATGATTATTTCTGATATTGCTCGGATGTCAAAGGTAACTAGTTCTCACACAATAAATTGAAGTCTTACATTCATGCTATCGATTATGAATCTGTTGAGCTAAGCACAATCAAACATAACAAAGTTTAATGTAAAGGCCCCTTAAAAAAAGGCAGTCATATAATGATTAAAAAAAAAAAGGCATTTTGTTCTCTCTGCAGCTGAATTAAAAAAAAGTAATGCCAATAAATTAAAATTAAACTTGACACTATGATCTAAGCTAAAAAAAAAGAAAGATTTACATACATGCCACCCAAAAATAAAATATAGGTGTTATATGTGCAAATATATTAGAGTTAGGTGGAATGTATGTAGAAGTCCCTTAAAAAAGGTAGCCAAATAGTGGTTAAAAAATAAAATAAAAAAAGAAATTTTCTTCTCTGCGTCTGAATTAAAAAAAAATAATGCAAATAAATTAAAAATAAACTTAACACTATGATCTAAGTTATAAAAAAAGAAAAATTTACATACATGCTACCCACAAATAAAATATAGGTGTTAGATTTGTAAATATTGAAGAGTTAGGCTGATATATGTAGAAGTCCTTTAAAAACGCAGCCAAATAATGGTTAAAATTAAAATAAGAAATTTTCTTCTCTCTAACGCTGAATTTAAAAAAAAATCCTTTACGGGAACATTGTACCTGGTTATAAAAAGTTAATGTCGCCGCAAAGTGCCTACAACCAGCATTGTCGTCACTCCATCCGACGAGAATGTCTATTTTAAAAATTCCTGGTACTTGGTCACAGAATAGGACTAGCCTTGCAACAATTTGGTGCCACAATTCTCTAGATTTTACTGGACGTTCCATCGGTGGAATGATTGACCGTTTTATTTTTCTGGCGGAATGAGACTAATGACAAGCTTCATTGCAGGACTTTTATGAATACATTGATAAGGCTTCTTTGCTTGGTCACTTGAAAGACTTTTTGTGCAGTGAGGATGCTGATTTACGTTCCAAAGCTTGCAGTGCCTTTGGAAACATGTGTCGGCATAGTGACTACTTTTATAAATCTCTTGTGAGTGTCATTTATACATCCAGAACTCTTTCAGTCCTTTCAACTGACAAATTTATTTATACGAAACTTTTTCAGGCAAAGGATGACATTGTCGAGCTCCTTATTGATCGATGTTCTGATTCAGACAAACGTACAAGAAAGTTTGCCTGTTTTGCTGTAAGCATCCTCCATGAAATAGTGCTTTTTGCATTAATTAAAAGCAAAAGGTTACGAAAGGTATTGCAAAAGAAAAGCAAAATATGAGGATGAATCTCTCGTATATCCCCCAGATCTTATTATAAGTTGTTTTAAATTTTTTAACTCTTTGCGGTGTCGTAGCCTATGTGGAAAACATTATAATCTTGTTAGAGTATTTATTTGATAACATTGGTGTCTTCATATGGAATTGCGCTAATTTCTGATTCTATTTGCTATGGAAACACTTTTTTTTCTCGTACCATACATATCTTTTACTGATTGATTCATTTATGCTATGCATTTGCTCATAGTGAATGTAACTAAAGTTAATTCCGCATTTATTTTCAGCTGGTATAGTCTTCCTATGTTTAACCAGGGCTGGTAACTAAACTACGAATCATGGTTCAACGGTTTTGTTGTTCCTCTTTAGGTTGGAAATGCTGCCTACCACAGTGATGCTCTTTATATTCAACTTAGGAGATGCATACCTCAGCTCACCAAGCTTCTGCTGTCCGGAGATGAAGATAAAACCAAAGGGAATGCAGCTGGTGCACTGAGCAATCTCGTGCGCAATTCCAACCTGCTCTGTAAAGACATTGAGAAGGAGGGAGCAATACAGGTTTGTATTCAATTTTTGTGCCACAATTGGCTTTCTTTTTCACATTGTTGGACTTCACATTTTTTATGGTCTTGGGGAAAAATTGGTGGGTCTTTCCATAGAAACATAATAAAAGCTTGTTTCACAGTTCAAGAAATCCTCGGACATATTTTTATTTTGGGATAAATACATAACACTTGAAACATTACAATATACAAATTAGTACCCATGTGATAATTTGAACTACCAAATTGATGCAATTACAAGTGTGATGATCAAGCCATTGAGAACTTGATAAAAGTGTAAAACATGGGTTCGGGTTTTATCATAAATTTTGATATTTGAGTGTAAATTTGAATATGTTTTTATACGTATGTTAATTAATTTGCTTGTTTATTGCATCAATGATGCTCCTTTTCTTAGGCATTGTTGAAGTTGGTCAGTGATTACTCCATTGTCGCCTTGAGCCCAAGCAGAAAAGAGGCAATCACCGAGTCGCCTCTAAAGATCGTACTTTTCGCGCTAGGGAAAATGTGCGACCACATGATATGCAGGCGTGTCCTTCGATCATTGAACTCGCTTCCTCTCTTCACACAACTTAAACGCTCACCTGATTCAACCATTGCTGAGTACGCCTCAATCATTCTTACCAAAGCATCTCAGGCTTGATGGGGAGGTGGTAATTTAACAGTTGTAATTTCTTTTGTTTGTCTATTTGCCATCACATGTACATATCCAACAAAATGTGCAGAACTTTCAATTTTCGTCAGTTTGCTGTTGAGTTATTCATGCTTTTGCTAGTGGTCTGCTAATTCATTACAGAGTTCATTCTTTGGATGAGTCGCAATAAACCTTGTGATGCCTCTGTGTTTTCTTAAAGCTATCCATTAGTTGAAGCTGGAATCAACTTTAGAGAAGGGAATGAAAAATCACAATTGGCTTGTTTAGTGCCTTGTTTTCAATAGTTATAGTGCTTTGATGTGAAAACTTTTTGCAACATTTAGCTCAGTCTTTTTCTTATGTTTCATGTGTATGCACTGTGGCAAGTCAATTATAATAAAGAGCCCTCTTAACAAATTTTACAAGTTAACTAACAATTGATTGAGCTAATAGGATTTAGTAGTTTGAAGTTGCAAAAAAAAAATGTTTTGAAAAATTGATATTGATCATTAGGGTGGTACTCAGCAGGATTTGTGGTATCAAAACCTTGCAAATGTGATAATTTTCCTGTCACATTTGATTAAGTGTGCTTAGTGTAAGGGTAAATTTTGATAATGGATGAAACAACCATGAACTTCTTATAGCATTCCTCGTCTGATGAGCTATTGATATGATTGTAACTTAATGACGATGAAGGAGAATTGATTTTAAATTTTTAGATGTTAGAAGAGATACAATGAGAGACGCGTATTTGGTGGGCTCTTTAGGTGTTTTCATTAATGAAGATGAAGTATGCTTCTCATGAATAGTGAGTATTTTAATTGCTTATGATTCATCTAATTACAAACCACAATCAAATTGATTTGCTTCAGTGCCATTCTGTTCGCCTTAAGTGCCGTTTCTTTTCTTTATGGTAAGATTGTGCAAGTTCCAAATTAAGTTTCATGAATACAGGTTTAATAAATATGAGCCATGAAGATCAAGGGATAAACTATCGGAGGTCAAAGGTTTGATATCCTTGGACATTTTTTAATCTGTTAGAAGGATGTTACCATAAGAGGACAACTATTAAGTCTTAAAAATTCTTATGCCAACAAAATGTTATGTTGAATGTATATCATGGGACATCAAAGACTAAGATTTCAAAAGTGCCTGCCTTAAAATATTTATGTTGCAATCAAGTAAAATTTGATTATGGTATGTTAATTTGTTAAATACCACCTCTTTGTTGACTTTTGCATTAAATTCCTAGAGCTACTTAGCATGTTATCAAATAAACATTGCATTATCAATCACCAACGTTAACAAAGGTGTTGATTGTCAGTAAGGCCTAAGCCATTATACTCGATGAAACAATGTGAAAAATGATTAGGAAACAATGCTTTATTATAGTCATGATCTACCTCAGGTTACAGCGACATCAACAATAGTAGAGATAATACATGACTCATACATGGATCATAACCAATGACAACTCTTCTATTTTGCTTAAATAACAAATTTGATTTTATGATCATTATTATTATTATTAAGTGATTGTAATCTCCTAATAAAAATATTCCGATTTCTCTGGGTGATTGAGTGTTAGTGTTCTTTTAGCCTACAATAATATTCATAGATCATGATAATTTTTAACTTTTTAAATGACTAATCTGAAAGTAAATTAAGTTTGAAAAGATAGCACCAACATGCAAGTAAATTTTAAATGGTTTTAGGAATATTTCATTGATTGAATGAGAATCATCACACTACCAAATCGAAGAAGCATAAACCTCTTAGTTCCTACACGTTGAAAGAAAATAAGGCATACTTCATTAAAAGCAATTAAAGTTCATACAATTGAAGAACAATCAAACTCGATATGAATCTTCTTTACTCCACCATAACCCTTCTCCAATGAAATCACACATCAATTCACCCTCACAAGATACAAGTAAATCTCACACCCACTCGACTCATATACACATACGCTCTCCCTAGTGACTTTTCCTTTACCGTGTTATGAGTTTCTGAAAAGTTGAACCTCTCTTTAATGAATATCAAGTGATTTTTTTTTTTGGATTGCTCGAATTACTTAAAACTATCTTAAATCGGTGGGGAGCGCAGCAGTGCTGACCGTGTGGCATCAGGGTGCTGGAAGTAGGCTTGATGGTGCTAGGTGGAGCACTGGATTTCATGGTTTTGAATTGTTGAATTAAAGCTTCAGGCGTTTGGCCGCTAGGTAGGATGGCGCTAGGGTGCTGAAGTTAGGCGTGGCAGCACTAGTGAGATGGCCCTGGGATGTTGGCCTCTATTTCTCCACATGAAAGGGCACTCATATACACACACGCTCTCCCTAGTGACTTTTCCATTATTGTGTTATGAGTTTCTGAAAAGTTGAACCCTCTCTTTAATGAAGATCAAGTGATTTTTTTTTTGGATTGCTCAAATTGCTTAAAACTATCTTAAATCAGTGGGGAGCGCAGCAGTGCTGACCATGTGGCATCAGGGTGTTCGAAGTAGGCTTGATGGTTCCAGGTGGAGCATTGGATTTCATGGTTTTGGATTGTTGAATTAGAGCTTCAGGCGTTCGGCCACTAGGTAGGATGGCGCTAGGGTGCTGAAGTTAGGCATGGCAGCACTAGTGAGATGGCACTGGGATGTTGGCCTCTATTTCTCCACATGAAAGGGATCTTCATTAGGCACCTAGGTGCAAAATTGGGGCATCGGGTTGCTTGAACATGCCTTGGACAATTTGTTGCTCCCAAGTGCTCAAGTTCTAGATCAAGATATGTAACATGCAAATAACAATATATATATATATATATATATATGGGGATAATATGGCTATCAAAAATAAATATTTGTATATGACAAGAAAAAAATGTGATATTATATATATATATAACATAAAAGGGTATAATTCACATATACATATGTCACACATTTTGTACACATCTCATATCATCCAAGCCAAAAAGCTTAGTGTAGCGTTGGCCTCAGAGATGAAGCGATGCATTGATTCAGGCAACCCCAGATACAATCTAGAAATGATATCTAGTAAATATCCCACACTATGTTCTTCCATTCCTTTGGCTCATAAGTCTGCATAAGTCCAAACCTGAAGAGCGCTTGTAATAAATCTCATACTAATAATTTATTTCTTTAGGTACTGTGCAAGAATGAAAAGTAAAATAATAATAAGTTTATAGAGGTGTGCGTGCTAAAATGAGAAAAAGAAAACCTTGCATATGCTTGACTCTCTAATATTTTTTGTAGGGATACCAAAAAAAGACGTCCTTGGCCGAATGACTAAATCATGAATCATTGGAACTAGCACTAGTGTGTCGTGCATTTCCATAAGTGGTGATCTAACTCTAGATGACTCACCCAACCATAATGATGAAAAGGGAATTAGGGAGAAAAGTGTGTATATAAGTCAAGCCCTTGTGTCAACACAAGGCCAGACATGTCCATATGTGATGAACCTTCCAAAATCCCCTTCCTCCTTGTATAGGTTCATCATTCATCTTACTTGTAACTTCAACACAAAAGAAAAGTATATGAGAATAAAAAAGATGACCAAATTAATTTTATAAAAAGGAGAAGGTAAAAATGATATCTCTATTATCATCAGGTTGTGAAGTACTGTGTTGGGGTCTCTGCCCTCAACGAATACACAGTGATCATACTTGACACTCATACCTACGAGTGTCATGCTTCATGGAAACAATAAATGTAACCTCACCAAATTCAATCAAGTATAATTAACTCCTGAGAGGTTATCAAGTGTTGTTATACGGAACCTCGGCCAAGTCTAAGTAGGTGAGTCCACATCAGCACAGTAGCATACAAATGTATTTCTAAAAAAGTAGATCCTATATGACCAGCATCAACCATATAAAAAATGAGGGTTAACCCTTCACATGCAATTATCCGAGAAAAGCCAAACTGACCGGTAACCCTATTAGAGTGATATCCCTCTAGAACTATTGATTTTCCAAAAAAAAACACAACCATCTGGGCCTTATAATATACTCCACAATCCATCCTTGCCTTCTAAAAGGTAGTGCAAATCTACATTGATGGCCATTACTATCAACTAAGTTATTTCTGATCCAACTTTGGAATATTGTTTACATTTAATTGATACACCAAAGAAAATTTTTCAACTACTAAATGAGTTAAGAAGAAAAGGTGAACTCATTCCTTTTCCAAAGCAGAGCTCACTAATGTAAGCTGCATGATACTGGAGACCCTCTTTCTAAAAAGAATGAAGGATACTCCAAGTAACTAAAGTATGACAATTAATAAATCACTTATTTGAATAAATTCCTTTATGATTGGAAGAATAAAAACATGGAGCTTAAAAAAGCCAAAAAGAGAGATCATTCTACACAAGAAAAAGCAAAAATATACCCAGTGTCTACTTATGGCTTTGTAAATTCCAATGTAAAATCATCACTACAAGTCATGTCAAACCTAATAGGATCATACAACAATATAGTAGGCTGGAATAAGTAATCCTCCTTAACAAAACTATGGATGCATATATCTAATGTCATGATTATATGAAAGAACATGGATAACCTGGCTCTCCTACAAGTACATTATTAATAGTTCAAAAATCACAAGTAAAATTGTTGGCAAAGTCAACTTGCCTCACTTGTTCCTGTCAACAGAATGTCAACATTGAAAAATCTCTTCATTTTGTGGAAAGCATTCCCCATAATAGCAACAAAATATCAATAGCCCGGATACAACATGTAACTCCCATAATATGATAATTAGCTCCTCTGAACCCATCCAACATGTGTACAAAGTCAGATCCCAAAACTCAATCACGCCTCTTGTCCATAATGAAAGGATGCACTTAAAAATAAGCATCAAAGCATATAAAACATCGTACATACCTCCTTATTCAAAATCTCTCTGATCTCTCTGTGAATTTGTAAGACATACCTAGCCCACCTGACATACCCATGAGGGTTCATCACAAAGGAGAGTCTCAAGGCCACTTTAATGAATCAAACAGCAACTGATGTTGACTCAATAGTCTTGACTGCCCAAACTGCTAAATGAAATCAACAACAGAATAAAAAATTTCATAAAGTTCATAACTAACATGATCAACAGTGCTCTCCAGTAGGTTAAACTCCTCGTAACTTAACTCAATAGATGTCACCCATTTATTATGCTCTCTAAAAATGAAGAGGTCAAGTTGACATGTGGGAAGCATATGTGAACGTGTGAATGAGTTAACATGTACACTGCATTTTCTCGACACCACCTTATGTTGCTCAAAT